TTTAATTTTAAGTCTACCTAATCGTGTAGACAAGGTTATTAAAGCCAAAGGAAAAAGCATGTCATATTAATTTATAGATTCTTAAATTTGAATCAATATAACTATATATTCAATACTTTTATTTTATCTAGTTTTTTCTTTCGTTTATATGTATAAAAATTTCTTTAAATATAAGTTAAAAATTTAAATCATTTAAATGATCAATGTTATGCAGAAAAAATTTATTGTAGGGGTGTGTATATTTCAATTTTAAAATATTATTACTTAATATAAAAACAAAATTTTTAAATCTAATCAGTAACTTTGTAAAATTTGTTATAAAGAACAAATTTATTAGTCAAATTTTAAAAATTTTGTCTCTATATTGAATAATAGCATTTTAAAATTGAAATATATTATCAATTTAAGAGTCCTTATACTATAAAAAAATAACGAAATTATAAAAAACTTTAAATAAATAAATATTTAAAAGAGAAATTATAAAATAATAATATTAATATTTTTATATTTATATTATTTTTTTAGTTTTTTTAATAATATTATAATAAAATAAAATTATAAAACTAAGTTATAATAAAAATAAAATATAACAAAATAATATAAAATTAATATAAAATAACATAATAATTATTATAAATACAATTATTAAAACCAAAATATATTATAAACTATTTTATTTATTTCCTATTTATTAATATAAAATGAGAAATTATCTCTATTTATATATTTTAAAAAATTTAAATTTTAGTATAATAACTATTTAAAGATAAAATAACATATTAAAAAATAAAAATACTAAAAATAAAAAAAGATAAAATATAAATTAAAAGAATAAAATAAAAAATAAAAAAATTAAAATTTAAATAAAAGGTGAAAAAGATAAAAGTAATTTATACTATTAATAAATAAAAATAATTATAATAATAAATATTGAAAATTTATATAATTCTACAAAATTATAAAATTAAAAAAAGAATTATTATTATTATAACAATATATATTAAAGTTTTTCTTATTTTATAAAGAACTTATATTTTACTTTCTTATTCTATATTTAATTAATATAAAGATATTTTGCAAGATACTTTAATAAGAAATTTTTAATAATGCATGCTATTAACTTTAATTGATCAAGTGAATTATAAATATAAATTGAAAAAAATAATATATTTTAATTCTTGTATTTAAAATTTTGAGTATAAATATAATAAGAATATTATAAATAATTAACAAAACAAATATAAATCTAGTATTTTTGCAAAAATCTTGAGAAATAATAGTTTTAATAGATTAATTTACAATAGCTCATGAATTTTACATATCAAGTGAAGCATATCAAAAAAATATATAAAATATGTGTTAATATTTAAAATATTTTTGAATAAAGCTAATTGCTAAGAATATGAGAATATTAGTTGTATATGCTTTACTTGTCAGAATAAAATATAAAAAATTCAGTCTTTAAAATCTTGACTTTAAATATATATTAGCTTATATTCCAGATTGAATCTTGAAGATTCATATTTTTATATTGTAATAATTATCATTACCAAATTTTCTGATCAAGACGAAAGTACTTTTAATATATAAAATAAAATAAGTTAGTCAATAATCATTTTTTATCAGGATATAGTTCTTGTTAAGTGTTAGATTAAAGTGATTGTATTATAAAAAATAATAGAGTTATGTAATTTTGGATAAGTAATATATGGTTAGTATTAGAGATATCACTTTTTTATTATTCCAAGATATAGATCTATTACAGAAAAATAATATATATAAATTTGTGCTTTGGTGTATTGACAGATAGGTATAATTTAGGTATCAAAATATTATCCCAAAATTTTTAATAAATTGTTATTTCAAAGTTTTCATATAGTATTATCCTAAAATTTATAATATTATACCAAAAAATATGATTCATGTAAGGAAAAAAGATGATATCCAAAGTATAATTATTACAGAAAGATATGTATTATATAAAATTGTGCTTTGGGATTACATCAAATATATGATTTAGGTGGAAAAAAGCTTTCAAACAAGCATTAATAATAGTCGTAATTTTTTAATATTATTGTTAATGTGAAGGGAAATGATAAGCGCAGAAAAAATTTAAATATATATTATTTATTATATAAAGAACAAAGAATTTCGACGTTTACTCCTTGCATTACATTCTTCACACTTAAAAAAACTAGCCTGTTTTGTTTGTTTTACCAAATAAGCTGTAGGCAAGAAAACTTATCGTTGCTAAAGCTCCCGCTGTTGCCAGCTCACTCACACCAACCTTTGTTTTTACCGTATTTTCCACCTTTACCTCCCCTTTCCTATCCACGTTAACATGCGTTTTTACCTTAGTTTTTACTTCTACCCCTTTGGTTTTTTCCTTGGGATATTCCCCAACTCTAGATGGTTGTTTTGGACCCTCTAACAGGCGGGTACTTGGATTTTGGCGGTATTCTAGCTGGTTAAAGTCCGAATGCGCTTCCTCTTTCATTCCAAGATACGCTTTAATTTCGGTGAATGAGTGCGTCGGATTATGACCACCATTAAGAAATGATTTACAATTAAAACAAAGGTCGAAGTCAGGACAATCAAGACACTTTTGGTTAAAAAAGAATTAGTGTTGATGACAATTTGGAAATTCGCAAGTGGAGAAAGTTAATGTTAAGTTTATGACACCTTATATCTTATACCACAGATGGGGTTATAACATCCATCACATATAGCATCTATAGTTAATTGTTTAATAATCTTATATATTTATGATAAATACAAATTTCAAATGCATAGCTAAAAACGTACGATGAACTACGGAGGCAGAGGCCATGACAACAATATCAAAGAAAGATTGAGTGAAATAAAGTCTGTATATATATCAATGTCAGGTACTACAATAGCAATTTTAGCGATTTTATTCTAAAGCTCGGTTGTTTTTTTTATAATAATGTGATGCTCCTTTTGGTCAGCTTAAGGAACCTTGAACCTGTTTGGCGTAAATTTCCAGCTTTGGATTTTCATAGAGAGCACTCCTTTGCAAATTATATCGTCTATTTTATAAGAGATATTGCAAATGGCATAGTGAAACGTCGTACTATTTCTCATGGTAAGTAAATCTTTTAGTGAGATAGGAGTTACTATAGTAATACATCCGGTTTAGAATGTTGGTAAACGTTACGAAAATGGCCACATTAGCTAGGATATACGTATGTCCAGTTTGGGCTTCACATGTGTCCTCCCAAGCATGGCCAGACTCATGAAATGCACTACCTTAATGTATGTGTCGTGAAATATGACACCTTGGTGTGTGGCGTAAAACACAAAATGCACCACCTTGGTGTGTGGTGTAAAACACAAAACATACCCTCTTCGAGTGTGGTGTAAAACACATTTCACGACAAACACCTGAGGGGTCATAACCTAAACTAAGTGGAAATAACACAATTATGTTATTTCCACTCCTTACTCACAATGCAATTTCGGAACATATCGATACTTGAGATTGTGAATTAGGAATAACCCAATATGTATATCAATAAATGAGATCGTTTTTTCTAAATCTTGGTGGATAACGATAATTTACAAAAGATTGACTTTTTCGTAATACGTAAAGATAAGGATAACGATTAATAAATCGACATATTGCAGTATAAATTTCCAAGTATGGTGTTTATTTGATTAATCATATCAAGTTTTTGAATATATCGATATGCAAGTGCTTGATTTTATTTCGAAAAAAATATCGATATTATTTCTTTCCAGTTGAAATCTTTGATTATTCGCACTTTTAATCGAGCGTCTTTAGCGAGTTTTGTCACACAACCTTTCGGAAGATTGAGAAATATGGCGACTGATAATAATAATAATACTGCTGCTACTGATCCTACTGAAAA